GGAATGGTCTGAGACGTTGAAAAAGGTCCGTCCCCTCCCCTCTTCAGTCTTGTATTCAAAATAAAAAGATTTAAGGGGGCCGACTGGGGTTTTACTGTGTGAAAACTACAATAGCGAGACTCTTCATTTCTATACCATATATAACTTATATTAACTTCAGTGTACATGCCAAGTGTGGGGGATATCTACTGTCCGGCTATCTTTAAGGAACCGTCTCAAAAAACAGGTACATTTTCTATAGGATTTTATAGGAAAATGCCGATTTTTAGCACTTTAAAGCAAATTATACAAAATACTATACTGTACATTATATGTAAGAATCACAAAATTCTACCGTATGTTTATTACTTTTTCTTTAATAACACTTTCATTACCCCTTTCTTAAAGAGCTTTAGTTTATCATAACGTCAAAAATACACTGTAACGACGTCAACCTATAAATTGTAAAATCAGTTATATTAAATTATTATTACATTTTTAAACATCTAATTTCTTAATTTTGTTTAATTTCATTAATTAAGTTGCTTTAAAACAGTAAATACGCTTCATTTTACTATGATGCGCGAAATATTGCGCAATAAAAACCACATGTACAGTCGCCCCCCTTAATAAATCATTTTTTGGTGTGGCTGTGTGCCCCTATCCCGACCCCTCCCTCCTTACATGATTCTGGATTTGCAATTGCTTGCATAATCTGAATGTCAAAACAAGAGATGTTTATAAAACACTTATGCCCCCCTCCCCCAAAGTTTAATTTGTTTTAAGTCCAAAAGGTCAAAAATGGCGCGATCGTACCCAAATCAAAACTTGACCTAGATATTCATCTGATAAATCTGTATATTAAATTTCAATATGTGCAACCTCTGCAAAGAAAACGAACGAAAACTGCAAAGAATTGGTTTCGGATATAGGTCTAAATTTGAAGCCCTTGACTAGAGTGACGTCTCTATATGAGTGAAAAACAAGAAAACATTGAGTAACCATCAATTGTCGCCCGTGAAATAAAGTAAACAATAGAAATGTGTGTTGATCATCAAACCGCATCGATATAAGTGAAAAGGGCATGCGTCTAAATGATGGAGACGATAGTCGAGAATATTTTGAAAACTTATAGTCGGATGAAAATCGAACAAAAACGATACCCTTTTAAACTTTATCAATTCCTCAAGTAAATGTTAGATGTTTAAAATATAAACTTAAGCCAGACAATACATCACCTATTTTCAAAAATGTATTTCACTTTAAGAATAAAAAACATGAACTGTGTCAAGTATGTTTTTATGCGGTAAGTAAAATTCGATGTTCTAAACGACGTGTCGTTTTTTCGATAGTAAATGATAAGCAACTATATTAAATATGAAAAACATATATTTTTACAGATTCACTTTATGGAAGTAAATGTATTATGTATTTCGTAATTTACAAAGGGAAAGAACATTCTGATTGACAATCTTTTAATGTTCAGAAAACTCCTTATTCTGAATAACTTCTCCCACCTCAATCCCCATACACCAACACTTAAACCTATATGTATAGAGCAGCCCGGTCCTCCGGGCTGCAATAATTCTTGAATGGGACGTTAATCAATATACAATCAATCATTCATACATGTTTATCGGTGAAGACAAAAATAACCATGCCCCCTTTCGAAGAAGGGACCGAGAGCTTATTGCTTTGCAGCTGCCGTCTGTCTGTCGGTCTCTCTGAAACTGATGACGAATGTTCGTAGAAACATGACTTATATTTCTTGCGCGTTAAAATGTCCTTTGTTATTATGATTTGTTTTATAGATAAATATTATACAATTGTTCTCTGAAGTTTTATTTTGCTATATTTGATAGTTATAAGGGGATATATGATGAATTTATCATTATAACAGTAACTTATCCGAAGAGCCGTATCACGTCGTGTTGACATGCGCGTGTCATCATATCAAAGTCGACGCTTCGCGTCTCGTTAGATCTGATGAACCGCGCCTGTCAACACGACGTGATACGACCCTTCAGATCAAGTTACTATTACAATAATATATATTTCTCAAAGCCCGTTTTCCAATACTCAGATTCTCAAAATGAAATTTCGTAGTAAGAAATGAAAGCACACAGTCTCTACTTTATTTTGATATATAAAAGAATCTTTTATATAAAAGAATAAAAGAGGGTGATAGTTTAATAATTGATATAAGGACAGGGCCATTTTATGCATAACATAAACCTATAGTTGCTCTTTATGCTTAAGTAGAGCTCCGTGTAAAAATTATGCAAAATAGGCATGTAGGTGATATATGAAGGTTCTCAGGATTTGATGATTTTCCCCTCATAAATTTCTCTCGCACTATGAACCATGTGTGTAAAATAAAAAATGTTTTGGTTCATGGTTACCATGGAAATGTGGGTAAAGAAATTTTAAAAAATTAATTTTGTTAGAGGTACAGTATCCAGAACAAATCCACAACCACTACGTACTATGTTTTGACCTCGTCGGTGTTGCGCCGACAGCTGATTTATTATTATCTAGATTCGTTTACCTAAGAGGAATATGTCATTTGTAGAGATATTTCATTAACTTTTATGCATTATTCAAAAATGTTGAACACGATGTACGACATGTGTGCCATAATCTTAGTGAAACAAAAGATATTGAAAACGTTCTTCTGGGACAACCCTCGTTCAAGTCCATCCGCATGATCTAGTTACTGTCAAAAAGTAAGGGGATTTCTGTTTTTCTTTGTAAGTATTTAAGGGCATAGGAGAATGAAAAAAGGGGGGAAAGGTTATTCTTCGAGATTGTCGTTCTCAGATCATATAACAATAAATAAATAGCTAGCTATTTTGTTACTGGATATATATTTTCAAAAAATTTCCCGTTTATATCGTGAGAAATAAAGAATTTTTTTTCTCTTTAAATCAGCAATTGAATTTTATCTGCATGGGTCAATCATAAGTATAATTTATGAAAGGAAGTATAAAATATCAAGCATTATTACATGTATGATTTGTGGTTATTTGAATTTAAGCAATCTTCCTTCTTTCTGTTAAAGCAAATGAAAAGAAAACTTTTGTAATACATTTCAATACAGATTATTTTTACCAATATGCAAAAGCCTATTAGTATAAGTAGAATGTGCTTGGATTTTTTTTCCGAAAAATTAAAATAATGTAGTCGATCGGTGTCTTCTCAAAATTTGGCTTCAACGCGTTTTATCTGCAAGAGATGAAGTGTATATTCATTGTTTGAAAATATAAATGTAATGAACTAGTTGCTTTTTTTTGGAAATGTGGGAATAGTTCTCAGGAAGGTTAAACTCAAAAATTAGTAATATGGATTATTCTTATCATTAGAGGAGTTTTTATTACATAATTGCGAATATTTTATGATCCCAGTTATTTGTGGAATTAGTAACAAATCCAACTATCCACAGTATCCAGCAATATTTGTAATGAAAAGGATGAAATGATGAACAGTGAGCGATCTACAACAAACAGAAATCCATAAACATCTGTGAAGAGGGCAAAAACACAGACCCCTGGAAATTCCAAAAGTGGGGTCAGTTGAAGTACGACTTCCCCTGACAACCAGTCAAACCGCCATAAATCCAAGTATTGAACCTCCAATTAACAATTAGTATGAAACAGAGCAGTCATAAAATTAACTCAATGATTGGTTATTTTTTATAATAAGGTCATTATAACGATCATTATGATAGAATTTACGAAATGCTTTTTTTAAAATAACAATCTGCCATTCAGTCTGTCTCGGTTTTAAACCTGATCATGCACGGAGCATGCTTTTGCGAATCTAATATTAGTATGTCAACACCATATGCAGGTCATGATGGAATTTATATATTTATGAAGAAATTGACGATGGAAAAATTGAAATATTCTCGTTTTTTATACAATTTAGTTGCTACTTGGCCCTTATCGTCTATTGTCAGTAAAACATGCAATGTGAAACCGATGAGACAGAATCTGTAGTGCTTTTAATTTCAAGTTCCCTGGGATTTATCGAATGGACACGAAGAATGAAAGTTACTATGTGTATTATTGCTAATTAATCAAACAATATAACATTAAAATGTCGAGTTAAAAGGCCACAACAAGTGTTTTCTTCTTATCTGTTCATTTTTTATTTCTTCCAATACAGAGATTAAAATTAAAAATACAAATAAATTAATAAACCAAAGGAAAGTTATAAGGTGGAGATATACATATGTATGTAATGAAAAGGAATAAATTACACGAAAGGTTGAAAACGTTTACATACATTTTTTAATATGAACAGGTTTTTAATAAAATTAGAGCTGTAAAATTGAGCTACCAAAGGAGTCTGTTATAGACTGCGCAGGAGGTCACTATTCAGTGGACTTTCATATATCCGGATGCTTCAGTATCCGGACGATTGTTCATCGGAACGAAATTTTTAACGTTAATTTGTCTTCTTTGACTGGTAATTCAGGTATCCGGACGCTTCACAGCAATAACGGTTAATTTTGTCTTTAGTTGAAGGTAAACAGCAGTTCTTTGCAGATGTGTATTGCAAAATGACTAAAAAAACGAGCAGTTCAATATGTGCTCCATTCAATATTTAGACTAAGATAATTTTTAGAACCGTGAATGGCAAGGAACTGCTTTTTTGTATTGTTTTCCATTCTATTTCTAAAATTACGGTACATAGAGATTGCATACATGTATATATGAGGACTGAGTTTTCTATTGAACAGTGTGAAGGTTAAATAAATGTTACAGGAAATTGAAAATAACAATATTCATTTTGTGTAATTTACAAAAAATCTTATAGAAAAAAACCCATGCAGTATCTCACCTGTATGCTAAATACCGTATTATATTATGTGTCATTAATGTAATCATAAAAATGTGCACGTGACTTAAGACAATTATTAATTTGCATACGAATGTAAGGTAATCCAATAATGAAATAACTCAGCGAAATTATTATGACGTAGGTTTGCAAACACTCGCACATAATTCTTCCTTTGATCTTCTTACTTTTCGGAATAATAGTAACATTCATCCGCTGGTGCTGAACTGAATGTTTCTCCAATTTTCTTCATCAGCTCTTTGAATGTTGGTCTTTGTTTTGGTTTTCCTTGCCAGCACTGCATCATCAATTTATAGTAGCTGTTGGAATACCATAAAATGAAAAAAAAATGTTCGCGTCATTAAATTAAGATTCAATGTTGTTTCTGATAGGTGTTTTTCAGAATTATGAGACACTTTTAATGGATCATATAGTTTTTTTTAAATTTTGCTTACAAGTCGTTGGCAAATTCGGGTCTTTTCATTCGGTATCCATCATTTACCCTTTCTTTTACTTCTCGGCTTCGCAATCCTGGATAGGGACTATCGCCTATAGAAGTAATTAGACTGTTTTAATTCTATGATAAATCAAATAACATTTTAAACATTTTTCAAATGCAAAGAAATGGTACATGTAGAGAGGACATGGTATCAAGGAATTTCTTCTTTTTTTAGCTCACCTGAGCCGAAGGCTCAAGTGAGCTTTTCTGATCACATTTTGTCCGTCGTCCGTCCGTCTGTCTGTCCGTCTGTAAACTTTTCACATTTTCGACTTCTTCTCAAGAACCACTGGGCCAATTTTGACCAAACTTGGTACAAATCATCCTTGGGTAAAGGAAAATTTAAATTGTTAAAATGATGGGCCAAGTCCCCTCACAAGGGGAGATAATCAAGAAACGACAAAAATAGGGTGGTGTCATTCAGAAATCTTCTTCTCAAGAACCACTGGGCCAGAAAAGCTGAAACTTATGTAAAAGCATCCTGATGTAGTGTAAATTTTAAATTATTAAAATCATGACCCCCGGGGGTAGGGCAGGGCCACAATGGGGAATCAAAGTTTTACATACAAATATATGGGAAAAATCTTTGAAAATCTTCTACTCAGGAACCACTGGGCCAGAAAAGCTGAAACCTATGTGGAAACATCCTGGGGTAGTGTATATTCTAAATTATTCAAATCATGACCCCCGGGGGTTGGGCGGGGCCACAATGGAGAATCAAAATTTTACATAGTAATATATAAGAAAAATTTTTGAAAATCTTCTCAAGAACCACTGGGCCAGAAAATCTGAAACTTATGTGGAAGCATCCTGGGGTAGTGTAGATTCTAAATTGTTAAAATCATGACCCCCGGGAGTAGGGCGGGGCCACAATGGGGAATCAAAGTTTTACATACAAATATATGGGAAAAATCTTTGAAAATCTTCTACTCAGGAACCACTGGGCCAGAAAAGCTGAAACCTATGTGGAAACATCCTGGGGTAGTGTATATTCTAAATTATTCAAATCATGACCCCAGGGGGTTGGGCGGGGCCACAATGGAGAATCAAAGTTTTACATAGTAATATATAAGAAAAATTTTTGAAAATCTTCTCAAGAACCACTGGGCCAAAAAAGCTGAAACTTATGTGGAAGCATCCTGGGGTAGTGTAGATTCTAAATTGATAAAATCATGACCCCTGGGGGAATCAAAGTTTTACACTCTTGAATCAAAGCATCCTATGGTAGTGTAGATATCAAATTGTTTAAATTATGATCAGTTGGGTAGGGTGGGGTCACAATATGTATTATTACAAGGGGATATCTGGTAAAGAACTGAATGGTCAAAGCTTCTCAGGTGAGTGACGTGGCCCAGGGGCCTCTTGTTTTTGTTGTTTTTTTTGTTTTGTTACAAATATCGACATTGAAAATGTTTTCAGTATTTACATGTTTTTGTCATTTTCTTAAAAAAACATTGACAGATTACCTAAGCTGAAGATCTCCCAGAGGACGATTCCAAAGGACCAAACGTCGCTTTTGCTTGATGCATCTTTCATAGAGATGAGGCATTCCGGTGCTGCCCATCTTATGGGTATTCGTTCCTAAATAAAACATTAAAACATTTTAATGCTACCACTTTCAATATAATTCATCTGATTTCCCCCCACATCTGATTTTAATGATACTGATATGAAATTAAAAAAAAATTGGAGCACACGTACATTAAACTTTATTTGTCAAGGGTTTTTTGGATATTTAGAAAGAAGTTAAAAAGTTTGTTGCAGGTTTCTGAAATTAAATATTTTTTTCGAATAATACTTTGTCATTAGATTTGGTATCCCCATCTCCGTCATCTTCAGCTTTTTGCGGCGGATGTGGACCAAACCCGCAGATCTTCGGTTCCAGTTCATCGGTAAGAAGAACATTTCTAGCACCAAGCTTCCGATGCAGGATCTAAAGAAAGACCAGAACAATTATTATAAAGAAATTTAGTTTACAGGAAAATATTTTTGATGCCTTTTTGTTTAACCCCCCTCCCCCGAAAAAGCGCAATTATGTTCCATTTTAAAATAGCCTTAATTGTGAACGAAAAGACAATGTCCAGTGACCTTTTTAGTTTCTAGGTGACACATTCCCCGGGAAATACCGTAGACGATTCTGTACAGGTGCTCCACAACATCATCTGTAGTGACATTCTTCTGATCCAGTAACCAATCACACAATTGACCTTTCTCGCAATATTCTAGAATCATATATGGTCCCACTGTTCATGAAATATAATATATTAGTTATTATCTATAGTATTACATGTACGCTAGAAGCGTCTCATAACGCATCTATCTTTTTTTAACTTCATAAAAGGATTAAAACTTACAGGCATTGTTATCTACAACAGCTCCAAGAAACAAGAGTATATTTTGATGTTCTCCAACTTCTTTACCCAGAAAATTAATTTTTGCTTTCATCATTAGCACGTCATCCTCTGTGAAACCACCTACAAGATTGTTGAGTATAATATATCAGGATACATTATTATATTCTTTTTATAAAAATTCTTTTTTGCTTTTGGAAAAGAATGCATTTTTTCCAATTAAATTCTGGGTTTTACATGAAGGAGTGACATACAAGGTATATTTCAAAAGGTATACTAGTTTATATGTTTTAAAAGATAATAAATATACATATATATGAAATATGAAAAAAATGTACTTTACATGGTCAAATTAATAATGTTTGGCTGGTATTGTTAGATGAAACATAATGTTGCCATCGGAAAAATGTAGCATATTCAACAAGAGGTCAATGGACTACATCGCTCGAAAGTGCACATTGGCTATTAAAAAACACAAATCAGTTTTGTATTGAATAGTTTACGAGGAGAGGGGGAAAGTTAAGTTAACACTACCTGAGAATGCTACCATATGAAAATAACATGTCTTTGCCGGTCTTAAGCAGAGGATTTTTAAAGTTTTTTTTTCTATTAATTCCTGTGATCCACGGTGACCTCACCTTAACCTGTGGCTCTGATTTGAGAAGAAAAACCTTGATTTTAATTTATATATTACTAATGATGACTGCCGTTCTCGGGCAGATGACTTTTAAAGATTTTTTTCCCTTTATATTCCTTTGTAAAATCACGATCCCTAATTGTGACCCGATCCTACCCCTGGGAGTCTTGATTTAAACGAACTTGACTGTACACTACGTGAGGATGCTTTCATACTGAAATGGATAATCATTGCTTTGTTGTTTTCAAGAGAAAATGAGTTTTTTTAAAATCCTATATAAACTTTGGTCCTTCATCGTGATCCAATCCATCCTGTAGGGGTTATGATTTTCTACATTACCTGAAGATGTTTCAATATTAATAAATATCAATAAACGTGCGACTTTGCTGTTCTTCAGAGGAGAATTTTAATAAAAGATTATCTTCTATATGTAAATTTCTATATATAAAAAGGATCCCCCATTTTGGCCCGACTCTACCCCCCGGAGTCAACATTTCAAAAACTAAAATGCTTCTTTATTAATATGACAGCACATGCTTTGCTGTATTTGATAAGATAAAAAAAAATCCTTTGTGTTTCTAAATCAAACTTTGATCCCTACCACAATGGGTTATGACTTTAACAAATTAGAATATTACATGTACTCTATGTAAAGAAGGTTTCCTTTAAGTTTAAACATTTAATGCCTAAATGGTTCATGAAAAGAAACTTTTCTTAAGTATCTCTCATGGAAATATGGCTTGGTCTTTATTTGAATAAACTTGAATTCCCTTTATCACAGGACGCATTGTGGCAAGTTTGGTTGAAATTGGCCAAATTATTTTGGAGAAGAAGTCAAAACAGTGAAAACTTCACAGACAGGCGGACTACAAATTGTGATCAGAAAAGTTCACTTCAGCTTTCAGCTCAGGTGACTTTAAAGATCTTAAGTAGAAGATAGGAAATGTTAAGCCTTGTGTCAGAAAATTAAATTTTTCAAATCTACTTTCACCAATTATTATATTTCATGGGAATAAGCAGCTAAATAAATATTGTTTTAAGAATAACTACCCAATTGATTCAATATATTAATTTTTGAATGCTCATAAAATGTATAATTTCTCTTCTGAACATCTTTAGAATTTTTTAAAGAAGAAAATAAATTATTTTATTTCCAGATCTTATATATATTTTAAATTGATAGACGATTTACATTTTAGAATTTTTGCTACAACAATTCCCCTTTCATCTGAGTTTTGTTTAGATTTGTATGAGGCTTTATAGATATCTGCAAATCTTCCACTTGTTACAAGGGATTCCAACACAATTGACGAAGACGGAAGGATCCAGCTGTCCTCTTCATTGAATTCCATTTGTCCATATACATAATAAATGTCATCCTCGTATGATCGGTTCTAAAATAAAATTAATCTTTAAAAAATATTTTATATTATATTTAAAGGCAATTTGGTGTGATGCTTTCGAATTTTGCACACAGAAAATATAAAAAATGATTATTGACAAATATGTAGGCCTTTCAACTAATTTTTCAAGTTGCACTTATGGTAAAAAAACATTGCATCGATAGATTTATATGTACATGAAATTATCAAAAAAAGATAATAACTTATGCATACATTTAATTACATCATTAAAAAGTTTAATTATGATTGACTTTTCCGATGTTGTGTTTTAAGGATAAGTAACTCAGGTGTGAAAAATGACCAACTTAGTGCCGATTTATGAGTTATCGTTTATAGGAATGACATATAGGCTGCTTCAGCATTGGTATTGTTATGTACACAAAAGGGTTCCTTACATTGTTTTGTACACAAAAGTGTTGACCATGAGAAAGAGAATGCCTTCACGCTACCTGAAATAACAGGGTCAAATGAATGGGGAACAGACTATATTCAATATTTTTAACTCTCTGACGATTATTATGAAGAAGAAAATTTAATGTCATGTTCTTTGTGTGCGCGCTTTTTCGCTTCCTATATAAATATATATATATTTACAAGTAAATGCAGCAATTGATCATCTTACTTGTGTTACTAAGCACGAAGGGGAACGACCGAGTATAAAAATTTAATTAGATTAGAACTAAGAAGGAGGGTAGATTTCACTTTTTATTTTAATTAAAACTTTTAATTATATGTATTGAAATGGTGTCCGCAACTATACTGTAAAATGGTAAATAAGATTAACATTGGTGCTAAATTTTAAAACCACTGGATTCTACTGAGAGCAAAGAAACACTTGGGAAATGCTAAAAACTGCCTTGCGTGTAAACAGTTAGATACCCCGAGCCTGCTCTCAACATGTTTCAGCAGTGAGTTATCGTTCATAAAACCGACCCCTAGCGGCAGTTGAAAGGCCTAAAATATTTAGATGCTGTAAAAAAGATTCAGAAGATGAAAATGTAAAATATTATTATACCCGACATTGTGTAAAAAAAGAGAATTTTTATGAAATTACAGTGTATGCAGCGGATAAACGGTTGTTTATTCGTTTACGGACTACTGTGACCCGTCTCTGGATTCCTTCTTTTACCAAAGACAATCGACCCATTCTCCATAGGACTACCATCCCGATCACACCACTGAGTAGAATTAACATAACTGCAAATATTAAAGGTAGGTTACATGTAAGTCATCTTCAAATTCAAGGAAAAAATTATAATACAAAACCCTTATAATATTTGTTTCTTTTTTTCCTATCCCAAAATTGTATTACCAATTCCAATTCCTGCAATCCTTCCTGCAGTTAAAACAGACGGCGTTTTTAAAGTTTTGAAATGCATAAAAACTGGATCGCTCTGTTGTTGCCCATATTCTGTGATAAAAGTTAAGTTATAGTATTTTTCCGAGTCTAATCCAGTAAGATCAAACCAGTCTGCATCTTTGTCGACAACTTTTGTAACACTTCTACCATCTGATGAAAAATACCGAACAATAATTCTAGATCTTCCATAGCAACTTGGAGCTAAATCCCACTTCAGCCGGACACCGTTGTCGTACGTTGCAGCGATTTTTAGATGCATAGGACCTGAATCTGAAAATACAATGCAGTTATTGAATTGATCCTTTTTTTTACGATTTAACTCTATGATTAATATAGTCCTACAATTTTTGTCTGGGATTTTTGTTCAGAAAAAATACATTACTGGTTATATCGTATGAAACGCTATATACATTGTATTTTTAAATCAAATATAATCTAGTGAACTTATTTAGAATTTTGTACTTTTTTTCTGTTGTCCATTTAATTATTAATCGTCCGTTTACATCGTGGTTGTTTTGTTAAAATATCTTTTTTGCAAGACGAAGGAACGGTTTTAGCTTTATTGTGCCCTAAAAATTCAATGTTTTCAAAAGTTTTGAAACTGGCTTAAATATTAGTTGAGTGTATGACTGTGATAGATCAGGAAACAATATGGTATGGAAGAGTACCATTTTGGAAATAAGACGTCATTAATTTGATGCATTTCTCTATTTTTAACAGAAAAAGCCTCAGAATGACCCATTTCAAGCGTTACTTTCCCTCAGAAAAATAGTGACCACAGCCGTCATCCAAATTCAATTTTGAAAATGTTATGCAAAATTATATGAAAATTCACATATCTAAAAATCTTTGTGGGAAATTCCCGTGGACAATGTTATATCTGAACGAAAATTTCACTGAAAATTGGTGTCTTCTGCAACTTTTAAAGAAAATACAGGAAAATGCACGTTTATGACCTCAACTTTAGCATTTAAAAATTCTTGTAAGAAAAATGATTTGTATGATTTTTCTGCATGGAACAATCGCTAGCCAAGGGTTATATCTTGGCAGACTGAAAATTTCACTGAAAATTACGCAAGGTTTTTACTAATGACGATTTTCGGCTGAATTAAAGTCTGTTACTGTTTTATGCAAAAGAAGAGTAATATTTACACGGGATGAAAGTTAGGACGATCTATGCTAAAAAAACAAGGGAGTAATTAATTTGAAATTTTTTTCTTTTGATTATATATGTTTTCAAGAATTATTGAAAGGACCACAAGTCCATGTTCCGCATTTTAGGTGCATCAATTTAAGCCAATCAAATTTAGCATTTCACAAAAAAAAACTTCCCACAGCTGTATGAGGTTGTTGTACATCAGGCTACAAGAAAAATGATTTGTATGATTTTTCTGCATGGAATTTCAATGATTCAGAAAGCATGAGATTTTTATTTTATATCAGTTTTATTTTAAAGAAAATCACAGTGCAATATTTGTATTGAAACCGTACATCTACTTTGCTCTTTTTTTTTTATTATTATTATAACAGCTTTATTAATCCATGGTTGTTAACACATTGAAACAGGAGCAGTAAATTTACGGGGAAAAGTGAAAAGCAAAGTACCAAATAGGAATGATATACATGTAAAAATATTAAAAATCGGTGCTAAATTAATAAAGAAATGTAGAAATGTAAAGACTTATTGCAATGAATAAGGGAAATATTCTGTATTGCAATGAATAAGGGAAATACTCTACATGTACATTCAAAGATATTTTTCGAATCTCGGGCGTCTATTACGTCCTATCAAAAGCCATACATGTAAAATAAATTCATTTTATATCTTTGAATAAAGCATCAATTGTGCTTATGGAGTTTCTTTAAAGGTGTTTAGACACAGATTTGAAGTGAATATTTTCTCATATTTTCTGTGTAATATCATGACTTATGTGTTGCTATAGCATTTCACACTTTTCTGAAGTAGTACGTATATGGCTAAAAATTTTGAAAGTGAAAGAATGTATCTATCAAACTCAACCAGAGATTAAAAGTTTCAATAACTTTCTGTTAAAAAAAAATACATTTTGGGAATGGAAACCAACTTTAAATTTTCTAAGATAAAGATACTCACACTGATCCATTCCATCGAGAGATGACAGATCAGATAACTGTAAAAAGCATTTTTTTTTCATTTTCGTTTTAAAAATCAAAACAGCGAGAAAACGAAAACAATTGATTATAAAGTAGAAGTGCTGACTTCAAATACTAACCGTTGTATTATATGAGGTGGATTTCATTGCCATGTTAAATACAATTAACTCAAGTAATATTGACTCTTCCAGTGTATTTTCTTTAGGAACAACCATCCAGCAGTTATCAACATTTAGAAAATGACTTATGTAGTAATAATCATCTGATGCAATACGATAACCTTCCTTGATGCCGGGATATTTCTAGAAAGGAATCAAGATTTTTCATTAGAATTTATATAACGGAAGTGAATTTCAATATAATGTTTTAAGTGTAATACAAAAACTATGTCCTTAGGATTCACGCAAAAAAAAAAGAAAAAAATGAAATACAATTTCATAAAGGTACAGAGACAAGAAAAACGGGAAAAATTTCAATTATAATGACAAATTGTAACTCTAAAGTTTAAGTTAAAATTACATTTCAATTCTGAAAGAAATTGTTCCCTTAATTTCTTATATCTAGCAAAAAAATTAATAGCAATCTTATAAAAAAAATAGTTTTGAAAATAATCAGTTTAATGTGAAAATTATAATAAAATATAGTCAAAGACTCATAGGTAGTATTCCATGTTACTTTTTTAAAATCTTTGAGTTTGTTGTGTAGTAATAGATAGTTTTCAGAAGACCCAAATTAACAAAATTATTTCCCGTTGGCCGCCATATTGGGGGTCAACCTGGTATTTTTCTCTTTTTGTCTTGTATAGAAATATTGGAGGGGGGGGGGTAAATCTTTATGGAATAAAATTATGAAATAACGGAGACTCTAACAAATGTATATTTTTAAGAAAAACAATGCTCTCCACCCCACAATTGCCAGTATAAAAAATTAAAGTTAGTTAAATAATATAGGCATATGAACATTGAGCATGTTGACCCCCAATATGGCGGCCAAAGGGAAATAACTCTTGTTAATTTTGGTCTACTGACAACTATCTATGAAGAGGATACTTAAAAACGACATAAAATTAAAGAAGTGGAGATTAATGCTTAATACTATCAATTTTCACCTCGGCTCCATTTTACACACACACATAAATCAATACGTTGAGCAAACTAGCTTACGGGATAAAAAGGATTTTTTGGTTCATTGCAAAGGGAAGGGGCAATTACATGTATTAGAGTTATTTCCCTCTTTTCATTTTACTTCCAAATGAATTGAGCTATCTTTCTTTTGAAAAATAATTTAAATATTGATCAAGGAGCTAAAAAAAACATCATTAATTTGAATATGATAATTGTGATTTGGAGGTTGGTGCCAAATCAATCCTACCGATCGCAATTATCGTATACTTTGGGTACTAAGGTAGTCATGGTCCGAAATATTCGTGCACGTACTGTGGACCAAATGACTTACATCAGTTTTATTTCCTGTCAAATTTCCTGTCTTGAAGACAATTCCACTCTCATTGGCTATCAATCTCCAGCTGATTTTGAAAATACCACTTTCGATATCACTTGCATCAATCTGTAATCTTTCATAAATAAAACATAAATCTAAGGTTTGGATTGCATATATAACCACAATTCAATATTGACATTATTCTATAAAATATTATACAGTTATTGAATTTTAATGTTGGAACCTTATGATTTGCTAGTCCTGAGGGTAAAAATATTGCCCGAGGCTGCAGGTCAAGGACAGCATTTTCACCTTCAGGTCAAACAAATCAGATGTTGCCCGAATCCTATTCTGTAACTGTTTTGTTATACTCTTCACTTAAAATTTAATCAATACACACCATATTATCAATTACTTCATATGGAAACATTTTGGCGTAATCAAAATAACTTTTTAAATAAGTAAACCAAAAGCTGAGAAAGAAAACAATTATTAAAATATATCACGAGAATTTTTTATCACAAAACATACTCTTCCATGTTTCTGTCTTTCAAATACAAGTTACAGCTCTTGAAGCTTTAAAAATCGACTATATCTGTGTCGCCGATATGGAACGATGATTAGTTACTTCTGACGTAGCAGTGACGTTACGGTCTAACAGTTCTTACGTTGAACTGGCAGGCCGGTCAACAGTGAAATTGTTAGACCGATGTAATAAACATTTTTTTGTTAATAGTAATGATTATATAGAGATTTTTATAAGGGTATTAAAATCTCAGTTTATATATACCGGTATTAAAATCTCAGTTTATATATACCATACACGCATACCAACTAAAAAACCCAGCTTTATTGTGAAATGAATTTGGTATTGTTAATCTACATTAAAAGATAATTAAACGACCGGTATATTTAGCTAACAAAATGATATTTCATACTGGTGTACATTGATAATTTTTCACACAGTATTATTATCTTTCATAAAATTGAATCGAACTTGATGCATATTGTTGAATTACGCCATTAGCTTTAAAATTATTAATAACCACAATTACGCATAATTTATACTTACCGACTTGAAAATGAGTATGTCGAAATATTTAAATTTGGGTAGAAAATAACATCATGTTGTGTTAAAGCAGATGGCGGTGAAGAATCAAAATAAATATGAGCTATATCTATCTTTGTATTTCCCATGATATCTGTAGCTTTTATCCAAAAGTTTATGGCATCCCCATCCCTTCTATGAGTAAAAAATTCTTGGAATTCTGAAAACGAGTCATTAACAGGTATCCAAAGTTTTGGTGTAGCCATTCCTAAATTGGCATGTTTGTATGCATATTCAAATTTGGTAATTCCATGAATATTTTGTATCTGTTCTAGTGTTCTTTTGCCATCCAGGTCTTCCATTTGTGGCTTTACATTCTTTTTTATGTCTGTCTGGAACTCGTAGTACTTGTAGGGTGATACTCGATTAAGCAATTTGTTCTTGTCGTGAAAGGAATTTCGAAAATGACCTTTCCACGAAAGTTTAATATTTTTATTTAAATTATCCTGCCACATAAAACCAGTTTCTTCAATGGCACTCACAGCTTTAATTTTGTCTGATGATATATTGGAAACAGTTATCTTGGACTTCGGATCATATAAAACAAGAGTACGGGCATACTCTGTGTTATTTGCGGCGTCAATCACATTTAAAATAAACGAGTACATTCCAGGGTTTTCAGGTACAAAGGTATATGAATTTGAGGTTGAATTAAATTCAAATGTTCTTTGTGGATTCCATGGATCCGGTTCATGAAGTTTTGGAATAACCTCATTATCTGGCACTAGGAAATATCCCTGAATGGTATACTTTTCTATTCCTGACATTTCATCTGTCCATCCGTTCCAGTGAAATCGTATTGGTTTCTTTTGATAGAAAAGAAACACAAAATTTATTTTGATCAAGTAGCCCCCTTTGATAATGATAAAATGTTTTATTAGGTCACCTGAGTAAACTCAGGTGACCTATTGCTATCTGTTTTTGTCCGTCGTCGTGCGTCGTGCGTTTACATTTGAACATTTTCAGCTTCTTCTCTGCAACTACTGAACCAATTTCAACCAAATTTGGCACAAAGCATCTACGAGTCAAGGGGAACAAAAATTGTGAATTTCATGATCCCTGCCCCCCTGGGGCCTGAGGGGTGGGGCCAAAACCACTAAAATTAATGCAATCTTTAAAAATCTTCTTCTTTACTCCTGGACATCAAGCAGACAAACTGTTTGCATGATTGTAATCAGCATTGAGTCCTCTACCAAAATTGTGAAATTCATGGCCCTGGGGTCAGGGGTTCTAGTGCTAGGGCGAGGCTAAATAAGTATATAGTGAAAATGCATTTCTTTGAAAATCTTCTTCTCTGCTCCTGGTTATTAAATAAACAAACTACATACATAGTTATGATGAGCAAGAGTGCCTCTACCCAAATTGTGAATTTTATGGCCCCAGGGTCAGGGGTTCTGGTGTTAGGCAGGGCTCTATTGATTATATAGGGAAAATACATAAATTCTTTAAAAATCTTCTTCTCTGCTCCTGGGTATTAAATAGATTAACTAAGTGCATAGTTATGATGAGCAAGAGTGCCTCTACCACAATTGTGAATTTTAGGGCCCCAGGGTCAGGGGTTCTGGTGTTAGGGCGGGGCTCTATTGATTATATAGTGAAAATACATGAAAATCTTCTTCTCTGCGCCTGGGTGTCAAATAGATTAAATAAGTGCATAGTTTTGATGAGCATGAGTGCCTCTACCAAAATTGTGAAATTCATGGCCCTGGGGTCAGGGGTTCTTGTGTTAGGGCGGGGGGGGGGGGTGGGGGGGGGGGGGGGGGGGCTCTATTGATTATATAGTGAAAATACATGAACTCTTTGAAAGTCTTCTTCTCTGCTCCTAGGTATTAAATAAACTAACTAAGTGCATAGTTATAATAATGAGCAAGAGTGCCTCTACTAAAATTGTGAATTTTAAAGCCCGAGGGTCAGGGGTTCTTGTGTCGGGGGGGGGGGGGGGGGGCTCTATTGATTATATAGTGAAAATACATGAATTCTTTGAAAATCTTCTTCTCTGCTCCTAGGTATTAAATAAACTAACTAAGTACATAGTGATGATGAGCAAGAGTGCCTCTTCCAAAATTGTGAATTTTAGGGCCCCAGTGTCAGATGTTCTGGTGTTAAGGGGGGGGGGGGGCTCTATTAATTATAGTGAAAATTCATGAATTCTTTGAAAATAAACTTCTCTTCTCCTGGGTATTAAGCAGTTGAACTACCTATATAGTTATGAACAAGGACCCTAGTCTTCCAGAATTGTGAATTTCAAGGCCCCGGGGTCAGGGGTACTATAGAGGGGGGGGGCTGTACTTATAGACTGAAAATGAATGAATTGTTTGAAATCTGCTCCTTGGTATTAATCAAATATTTTTGAAAAGCAAGGAAGCCTTTTCAAAAATTGTGCAATGTGTGGATCTAGGCCTAAAGGTCAGGGGTCCATGTGTGGTAGGGGCACTACTGATTATTGCTGAATATTACTGATTAGTTGAAATGCATTTTTTGTTCCTCTGCCTTGCCTATGGGTATTAAGTAACCAAACTAAGCAACTTCTAAGTGTATAGTTATGATGATCAATGATGCCTCTTTAAAAATTGTGAATGCCATAGCATCTGGCTTAAAACATGAATCAAATTCAATCACTGGAAAGTTGTTGCATAATGCTCAGGTGACCTATAAGGCCCATGGGCCTCTTGTTTTTATATAACTTACTTATGCAACAATATACATCATCATCTGCATACGGAGTTTATATATCTTAGTTTATTCGATACGCAAGAGCATGCTCTACCTATGAACAATTTCTGAAACGAGGTAAATTATTGACAAACAAGCTGATGAAACAAGAATATCCACAGTCTCGTTAAAAGTCATCGTTTCGTTGATTCTATGGTCGATACAATGACATTGTTAGTAAATACAATTTTTCATTGAGTCAAATGCTGACTGACGTTTTTCATACTAATTGTCAGTCCATTGTTTATATAATGAATTGAAGACGGATTTTCCGTTGTTTCCCGATCATAAGGAGCGCACGGCGGGTGTGACCGGTCGGCAGGGGATGCTCACTCGTCCATGGCACCTGATCCCACCTCTGATGTTTTGGAGATCCGTGTTTTCTCTGCTCCTATTTATTATTGTTTTATGGACTTTTGATCTTGAAAACTGTTCGTTATCTCCATATGTTTCATCATTTATGTTATTCTAAAGGACGATGAAGAGCCTGAAAAAAAAACGTATTTATACCTTTGTTATATCCTCGTCAACGTTAAATGATGTCCTATTACATTTGCCATCAATCAGACAATGATAAGGAGTCTTAAAATCAAATCGAAATCGTGTTGCTTTGCTAGCATTTTGACCTCTGAATATGTCCATTTGGTGTCCATGTGGTTTTCTAAGTTTGCGATATCCTCCACTTGTTGCAATTATTGTTAATGTTAAACTAAAAAATCAAAATTAAAGGTTGCTTCAAATTGATATGTAAAAGATTTAATTACGAAGTAACAGAGTCATTTTTAAAGTCAATATAATGAAGAAGGTGGTTATATTCTTTTAACTATAATGATATTTTTTACAGGACATTAATTTTGCAATGAATCGATTCTGAGAATGGAAAGGGTGCGTTCCCTCTCAGTTAAAAAATCCAACCCAGATATTTGACATGCAAGGAAAGTTCTTACATATATTTTTAATACATATCTATGATTTTTGCAGTGCCATCTTTTTGCCCCATACCTACTGTTTCTTATATATTTGCAAATATTATTCATCTGTAAATTTAGGGGATCAGTAGATTGATATGTATTTGTGCGCTTACCTTTTGATCATATCCCTTATCATGTTATGTTTATATTTTTTCTTATTTTCGTCATTATTTATATATGAAATATTTCATCTCAACAATGGTGTTGAATTAATTTGATCGCAGATCGGCAAAAACAGCTGCGGTGAGATTGCGCAGCATGAAAAAAACAAATATATTTTGAAGAAAACTTTTACATGTAGGTACAGAGGTAGCCAAATATATTAAAACTCTTTAACTACATAATTTAAACTCTTGTATCACAGGAACTTAAAAAGTAAAAAAAAAATTTAAAAGTGATTACTTGTCTCCATGTTCCAAAACTCTGTCAAAATTAGGGTCGGTAAAATTGCACCAGTATATGCTATCATTTGGAGCCAAAGAGCCTGGGTTTTCCGGGCAGTCAAGCACGGTCTTGTTGATACTTATGTATGGCTTAGAAGGATCTAGGAGACAATTCTTGAAATGATCAATAATTTATATACGTGTATATCAAATGCATTGTACTTTACACCTACAGAAAAAATATTTTAAGCGAAAAATATCAACTCATTGAATTTCACATCTTGGAAAAAATATATATTTTTTTAATTAAGGTATCCAAATATATTAAAACTCTTTAACTACATAATTTAAACTCTTGTATCACAGGAACTTAAAAAGTAAAAAAAAAATTTAAAAGTGATTACTTGTCTATGTTCCAAAACTCTCTCAAAATTAAATTCAATAATTTATATACGTGTATATCAAATGTCTACAGAAAAAATATTTTGAAAAATATCAACTCATTGAATTTCACATCTTGGAAAAAATATATATTTTTTTAATTAATAAAAATAATTATATGAAATTAAATGTCTAACTATTGCTAGCTATTTCCTTGACATTTAATGGATAAATTTGAATGTTCTTTTAAAAGGAATTCCTTTAAACAAGTACATAATACAAGGATTCTTATTATATTAAATCTAAAAAGTTTAATCTTGCCATTTCTATCAATTTTGGTTAAATCCAATTGGATCTTTCCGGAGACTACACCAAACTTAAAATCTTCAACATAGTCCGGATTCTTAAATCCACTCAGATCATTAAATGTTGCGGAGAATTGTACATTAACAAAGTTATAATCTTTCTCGTTCACCCATCTGGTGTCAATCCTTGTTGAGTTCGGTTCTGATGAATCTGACATGTATTTGTAGAGTTCCCTTTTCTGTCCCGTGCGTTCAATTTTAGCAAGGAACGAGGTACACTGTGCAATAGTTGGGTGTAGAGAAGCTGACACTAAAATATTAAGACAAATAATTATTAACTTTTGAAGCTAATAATGATTCAATGATATTTATGCATGCTCCAGTTCCATGTGATAAGGCTATTCCTTACTTATTTTGCAGAGATCTAATCCATATTGGCCACTGAATCCATCCTCGCACTGACAGTGAATGTTATCAACACATTTACCGGGGAAGCAAGGAGTGTGGTAGGAACATAGAGCTGTAATTCATAATTATATAATAAACTTAAGATTTTTTTTCACAGTTTGTCGTACTTTACTAAAATTCAAGAACTCAAGAAAAAAATTTAAGTGAAAATAAGTCTGAACTTTGTCAGGTAACTTTGCTAGATATGATAACTAAACATAAATATTTTGATGTGAATTATTAGGCCTACATACTGATTTCAAACAAGAAGCCCGTGAGACACATCGCTCACCTTAACACATTGACTAGGAAACGGCACAAATCAGTCCAGTATTGAAAAGTTTTGGAAAGGGGTGCTTCAGTTTTATGCTATATGTACCCGAGAATGCTTCCATGTCGATTTAACAAATGGGTTTGCTGTTCTTCAAGAGTTTTTTAAAGAATCTTTCTTAATGCCCTTGTAAATTTTGATCTCCCCTGGCCATTTCTCTCAACCCTGCCCCCCCCTAATTAAATTATTAATTTAATTAATTATCAATTAATTGGTAACTGGGCTTTATAGAAATAAATAAACAATTAAATAGTAACTGGGCAATCAAAATGCTGATATACATGTACTTACGTGTTTCGCAATTATTTCCTGTGTATGTTCCATCACATATGCACTGATTTGGAGCAACACACGTGCCATTATTCTTACATGGCGGGTTGCAGACCGCTGAAACAAGACAAACACTCTATTCTTTAAAGATGAGTTAATAAAACACATGTAAACTGTGAACAGTTGTACATCTAATTAAACAAGCAAAAAGTACAAATCTTTCATCAGTGTATTAGATATGGGCCCCAGAAATTTAAAAGTTTGGATTCAGTGCTCAAAGAAGTACACATCCAAATATAAAACAGATGTGGCAGACCCTGTAGTGTTTCATTTCAATTCCACTTGGATTTATCTATTTGAAATATGAATGGAAGTATGCTCATAATATGCAAATCAAACAGTCAGCTTAAATGTCAGAAGGATAAGTTTACTCATATTTTACGTAACATTAAAAATGGTTCAACTTAATTATTTGTCCGTTGATCTTGACGTAATTCGTTTTGCTTCATCGTAATGCACGAAAATGCATTTAAGAGTGCTTTGAGTAATTAACAAAGTTTATCAGATACAAATCGAATGCAAAATTTTTATGCCCCCATAATCGAATGTTCGGAGGTGTATAGTTTTTGCCCAGTCCGTCTGTTTAATTGTCTGTATTAACTGACATGAAAAGCTGTTACCTTTCCCATATCTTTTGAGTTGATTGGGCTATGATTTTCATATTTCTATTGATTTTAGGGTGCCATCAAATTTGATCTCCTTGCCTTGACCTTTACGTTTGACCCACTTTTACCAAATGAATAATTTTCAAAGTTTTACCTTGCTCATATTTCGATTGATTGATTAATCGATTGTATGTTTTAACGTCCCTCTCGAGAATTTTTCACTCATATGGAGACGCTGCTCATATTTTGAACATTCGTTTTGAACAGTTCACGTATATTCATTGTGACAAGACTTTTAATGGGTATAATTTTTTTTTAAACCTTTGACCAACTTTGAAGAAAAAAACCTTTATCCTTGGCCATAACTTTTGAGTTAATACTAAGGCTTCACATGTGTATTCATTGTGACAGGTGTAAATATCTTGACCTTTTGACTGTGACCGAAGGATTTGACCCATATAAAAAAAAATTCACTTTGGCCGTATGTTTTGAACTGTTAGTACTATAGGGCTTTCATATTTCAAAGGTATAATCTTTGTGATGGTTCTCCTTATGATACAAACAATTTTGATCTTGACATTGGAGTTTGGCTTACATATATTAACAAACTTTAACCCTATACGTTGCTGTTATGTGGCATCAGTGTTTCACAAACACATTTTGTTTTTTTTTACTCATAATTAAGTACAAGGACATAGTGATAGGGTACCAGTCAAGCTAGAAACACTATTACATTGAAGAAGCATATTACGTCAATTCTTCCATTGTGCAACGAAAGAGTAATGCCAAACGTAACCAACATCATTCGTAACGTCTGCATATTGCAAAATTTGAATACTCACGAATGGTGCATGATGTTCCACTGTATTCAGAAGTACAAACACACTTTCTCCCCGGAGTACAAGTCCCCCCATTTCTACAGGTTGGTTTGCAGATTGCTAAATTACGAAGATTCATTAACTTCGAAATCATATAATTCAAATAAATAATTGTTTTACACTAGCCATCTTTTACAAATTACAAATTCAATCCTCACTTACGTTGATTGCAGTTAACGCCAGTATATCCGTTCGTACAATGACACGTGTTGGGGCTCACACATTGTCCATCGTGTTGGCAGGAAGGTTGACAAACAGCTACAGAGATGTTAAAACATGGGATTGGAAGAATCAAAAGTTGATGATACTTAGACTTTTTATCTTAAACTATTTTCTCTTTAAACATATTGGATATTTTCTTATCTCGCTTTGTTCTACACTCATTCCTTTACTTTGCAGACAGTCAACGTCGGGTGTAATAACTTTCATTTATTTTCTTAGATTCAATTTTCTATCGTATTTTAACCACATATTAATAACTGTTGTTTAAACCGTTTCCACCTTCTTTTAAACATGTACATTCCCTAACTTAAATTTCAACGGGGATATACGCATGAATACAACACTCACGATTTTCGCATTGTCTTCCTGTGTAACCTTGGTAACATGAACAATGATTTGGACTACTGCAAAATCCATGAGCACAGACTTCATAGCAAACAGCTATAAAGGTAAATCAGTTGTTAAGTTAAAATGACTTTAAACATTCAATAGATATGATTGCAGGAAAAATTCAGATTTTTAAACTTAATGTTAAATTTGTTTTGGTAGACAAAGATTAAAACCTTTGTCCAAGTTTAGATTAAACAGAAAGTGTTACATGTCCAGTGACAACGAAGTTTAACTTTTCTTTAAACGGAGATCAAAATCCCAATGTAAAATTAGGAACTTACAAACAAGAAAACGTATTTTCTGTATTTTAGGCCATCTCATTACTTACACCAGCCTTGCTGTCGAGTCATCATTGTTCGTGGGGGACCAAGGTTCATATTTCACCCTTATCCACGATTTTTAATCCCCACAAACAATTATTTTATTAAAATTTATTGTATTGTCTGAATATATTAACGAAATTCCATCCCCACGAATCAAAATGATTCCATGGTATGTCTTACATGATGCTCACCTCTTTTCTAGACATAGATGTGTAAAAATATATACATCTTTTTTTACCAAAATATTACCAAGGAATTTTTCGTAAGTTCGATACTTTTTAATTACGTCAAAAATATCCTTAATTAGAACCGACTTACGTTTTTCGCATGAATTTCCCTTGTAACCAATAGGACATTTACAAACATTGGGAGCGGCACAGGTTCCTCCATTTCTGCAGCTACACACAGCTACATGGAAAAAAGAACACAAATTATATCGTTTATATATATAGATGAAAAGTGTTCTTTCCTCATATGTCTAGTGCTCACAAACTTGAAATTTACGGTATTTCGGCACGTTAACTTGTTTGTTTATGAGGTCGGATCATTTTCCACAAGGTACATCACGTCTCTCCGATATATCTCTCGCAACCAGGACATGGTAGATCGACTTGACATGTTCAAAATAACGGTAAACAGCTGCTTTCCGTTTATTGCTTTTAACCGAAAGCCTCTATCGAGACTGTAGCTTTATTGGTTTGTACTTATAAAAAAGAAAGAGAAAACAAGCGGTTGGACTGAAAACTTTTCAAAAGCAATTGCAATTAATACCGGTAGAATATTAATTGATTCCTTAATTAGTATCTTTTTTTTAGCAATACTGCAATAAGACTATGACAGTAGGAGTAGCCTTTAAAAATGTTACAGAAATTTCTATTTTAGTAACCACGGCATCACCATTCTTCAAAATCAGATATCGAAACAAAGGATTATGTATCTTAGTGTAATCTACCAATGAGAAGATTTCAAAGCATTAAATTAAATCATTCAATTTTACTAAATAATAATTTTAGCCCCACACCCTCTCACATGGTACCCCTGACCCAGGGGTCATGAAATTCAAAATTTTGGAAAAGGTAACCTTCCTCATTATAACTATGTACTAACATCATCAGAATAATACCCAAGACTTTCAAAGAAATCATAATTCTTGAAGAAGCATCCTTGCTCATCGAAACTAAGTAATTCGATAATCTCAAACAATTGAAGTTACACCACATATTTGGTATAATTCACAATTAACACTTGCTGCTTTTTAGCTTTCAAGCATACCAGTTGCAAAACTGTCATTTTTGATTGGCACAATGTGTCACAATTTTGCAAAATTCTCCAACTTTGCCTTGCAAACATTACTCATGTCACCTATTTGAATATAGATCAATGAAAAATATTGCCGATTTCTAAGAATTTTTTTTTGTTATTTATCCAAGTCATCAGTGTTCCTAGCGGGTTAATGTGACTGCTCCGTAGCCCGATACACGTGTCGGCCGATCATGTTCTTTCAGCCGACGATACCAGACAAATTTGATCGCCTGACCATCGGCTAAAACCCCAGTCACATTTCCAAAAACGACCAACGGCCGACGGGTTTTGAAGCAAAAATTGTATTCTTTGGGTGACAGTCGTCAGTTCATCGGCCGTTGTCTTGCCCGATTTTGACCTCTTTTTGTTTTTGTCGGCCGACCAATTTTGTGTCTATTGGTCCAAGTTATAATTTTTTATGCGTCGGTGGCCGATTCCTTCAATTGAAAATATCCGTCGACCAACCTTCGATCATCGTCCGACCATCAGTGGTCAGTTTATTAAGTCGGTCGTCCGTCGTTGGACAATAAGGGTGTTTAAAATTTCGGCCGACGCTTAAAATCAAACTGTAGCTCAGAGCTCGATGATCGGACGACGATTTGCCGACTTGTGAATATTTAACCTAGTAAGAAGACATAACACAAACAAAATTTTGATGCAAGGATTGATATAAATTTTTTGAACGGAAATAACATGAACAATTAATCCGTAACATATAAAGAAATCTTTAGTATTCTTTGCTCTTAGTCACATATCTGAATATAGATCTATGAAAAAATATTGCTGAATTCTAAAGAAAAAAGATTTTTTGTGTCATTTATCCAAGTCATCGGTGTCTCTAGGAATTTTAAGGGTCCTCCACACACCCACAGCTTATGTACTCATATTAATGAGCATTACTTTTAACAAGCATATCAACCTTTAAAAACTGTCCAGGGATAAAAATGTAATTTATACTGATTTTTTAAAATAATTCACAGTTTCAAGAAATTTTTCCCAAGGCGTTTTCATACCTAGCACAAAAAATTTTGTCTTACCCTTTCGTATATTTTTAAGCTCACAGAATAACCATAAAAACTTAATTTTATCGATCAACACATTTTTTTACAGAAATTTATTTCATTTATAAAAAGTACATAAAACTCATTTTCTCTTAAATACATCACGAGAAAAATCAACAAGGACTCCTTTTGTAGAGAAGAAACATTAATGAATTAGATTACATCAAAAAATTGAATTAAAATTAAATGCACTGATGTAGAAAAAACATTTTCAAAATCTCTGGTATCAAAGTTCCTTTTTGGAGTTATCTTTCCTGTTGCTCGGGACTCAAAAACTTTGGCAAGTCTCCGCTTACGTCACCATACTATATTTAGTAATATACTGGCCACTGAACTGGACACAAATAAAAGAGGAAAACTACAAACGCACACTATTTTATCAATATTTATAAACACACAATAAGATAATGTATTATTGAAACGTACAAATTAGTGTGCCGAAATTTCAAGATGTTCAACTATCAAAAACAGACTCGGTTGATTAGCCTGAAAGTGTAAATAACCTATACGTTTCTCGTCATACCCACCGGTACCTGTTGTCTAGGAATTATTATCTTTATTAACATAATCCAAGACGTCTGTTGTTCTTTTATTAAAAGAATACCGCAATCCTTTTCATCGGTCACTCCGGCCGTGATCATGCCATGTGTTCATTGTTTACAAACGGTGGTAGGACAATTCGTTCATGTATTTTCTCAATAAAACCGGAAGTAAAAGTATTTTTTCTCTAAATACGTCACAGGTCACATGGTGTGGAGGACCCTTAATGTGACTGCTCTGTGTCGCCCGATACTGTATCGGCCGATCATGTTCTTTCAACCGACAAGACCAGAAAAATTTAGTCGCGCGACCATCAGCTTAAAGCTATCGTGCAAAGTCTTAAACCTATTACACGCAACGAGCAAAGCGGTGTCCGCCATATTTCTCTACTCTGCGATAGTAACAATTCCAAATATATGTGATCAATCGCGGTCACGGACTATCGCACACGCTTCCAGAAGGCTTAGAGTGTACACTAAACCCCCCAAAATATAAGTCAAACTTGTACTGTCTTTCGCTAAGTTTCAGAAACTAATACAATACAATTTTTTGAATGCTTTAAAACTAATAATAATAATTCATAAAAAAATAAATGTTGCAATTTTACAAGCACGTGAATTTTCGGTGATGAAAAATACATTTATAAAACAACGTATTACAATGCTTACCAGACGCCAGACAGTACAAGCTTGATCATGGATCATACGATAAGTAAAAACAAGAGTTATAAAAGTAAAAGTATTAAAAAAATTTCCCAAGTTTTCTTTCAGCGCCTACATCAACACATCCCGTTTACGCCCTGCGACATGAAAACAACAGTTATCTGTGAAACCGGCCTGTCCAGTTTTCTAAAAATAGTAACGATCCCTTATACCTCGTTGACCGTTCGGGGATCAGTTATTATCTGGGAAAATATAACCCAGCTGAAAATACTATGAATATATTGAATGCAACATTTAGATTATATATTCTTTTATAATGTTGATATATTTTGTAACCAAATCTTTTTTCAGGGACGTAGCAACGGGGGGGGGGGGGGGGGCAGGGGGGCCTGCCCCCCCAACATTACCTTTACTATAGAAAATGTTCATTGAAAGGATGGTTGCCCCCCCCCCCCTTTTTACCATAGTATAGTGATGGCAAGGAATTGTAGGTAAAAATTTAAAAGTGAAAGTAATTTGGCTTTGAAAAAGTTAATCACCCCCCCCCCACCCCCGAAATAGGATTTTCGAGTTTGGAAAAATTTTAATTTTTTTTTTTCGCTTGTCAATTTTTTTAGGTGAGAGTAAAAAAATAATTTTCTCTGGTTGGCCCCCCACTTTCAATAACGATGCTACGTGCCAGTTTCTTCTTCTCTCTCTCTCTCTCTCTCTCTCATGTACTCTCTCTCTCTCACGTACACAATGTTCATGCATGAATACAGGACACAGGGGTCGGAAGTAAATTGAAATGGGGGGGGGGGTTTAAACAAACAAAAAAAGGTAAACTTCAATAATTCCCCATGCCTATATTATGTCTGTATTTGCAAATTTTTTTTTGGGGGGGGGGAAGCTAACCCCCCTTGTCCCCCTTTCCATTCCAAGGCTTGTGTAGGAATGGATTAAACTTTTCCTTGACAGAAAAGAGAACACAATAATAAAACATCGGATATGGAATCTAAACTATAAACGAAATTTTAACTTTGGGCAATGATGAAGAATTACATTTTTTGGATAACGTAGAATTCAGCTTTAGCACTGCCCAAGTTATCTGCAGTTGTATTATTTGTTTGCAATAAATTCCTCGCCAACAATATTTTCCTGAAAAAGGGAGATTTTTTTTTAATGCTAATATAAAAAAGCAATACAGTTGGTAAACAATCATTTTCCGTAAAAGTTTGAACCTAGGTTGAGTCTCCATATATATCATCTTCGCTAGCCAAGGGTTTCCAATCCGAAAGCTATTCTACTTGTAAAGTAGATTTCGGATCGGAAACCCTCGGCTAGCGAAGATGACATGTGTATATAATAAATATGATTTTAAAATGTGCACGTTCTTGTGTATGTCAAATTAACTTATTCAAGAACTTTTATATAGAAAAAGATTTTTTTTTCCAAATCTTAAATGAGAAGGGGTTTTCTGCCCGTGGCAACTCGGGCTAATTTGTTACATGGTAAAGAAAAGTATCAGTAAACGATTTTAATTGTTCATGGACTTTTCTAATGCATAAACTGCATCAATATTCAAGGTGGTTGATAGAGGGTGTATCAAATATATAATAAGTCATCAGTTTTAAAAACAAATGTAGCGTAAAATAAAGTACAATGTTATCATGAACCCATAAAAATGAAATTATAATATTGATAGAAATAGGAAATACTTATACAATTTTATGTACAAATGAACTGACCCACTTTGAAACTTGCCGATCAGAAAGGAAATAGATGTAGAATTTAGAATTAAATTATATTTGTCATTGTGTACATTTTCACATTTTCAATTCACTGTTTGCCCCCCCCCCCCCCC